CAATTATGGTTTTGTAAAATAATGGATTTCAAGTATTAGAAGTAGTGTATTTTGTGTCATATCTAGATGGTCTTTCTCAAGTTTTCAAATATTCGAGAGTTCTATACTATTTTTTTGAGTTTTGAAATTTATAACCAAGGGGGAAATAGTTTTTACGACATTCACAGGGGTTTCCAACATTAGAACTGCATTTATTGGTGAGGCTCAATAAGCAGCCTTACTTTTTCTCAAAGCCCAGGCCATATATTAACTGCACCAATTTTTATATCTCTATGGTGTGTGTACGAAGGGGAAAGTCCATATAAAAAACAAAGCTACACCTTGAAAGCCCTAGGGTAAAAAACAAAGCTACACCTTGAAACCCTATGGTAAAAAACAAAGCTTCGCCTTGAAAACCCTATGGGAATGTAGTTCACATATGACAAAACAACAAAGCTAAACCTTGAAAACCCTATGGGAATGTAGTTCACATTGGAAACCCTTCAAGTTGATGATTTGGACTAAAAAAATAGGAATTTAAAGAAAAAAATGGATTTTAACTCTTGAAAGTAGTGCATCATGTGATGATACTCTGTTAGATTTGCTATATGTCAAACCAACATCATTTTTTATTCATAATTAGAGATAAATATATTTTTAAGTCATTGCTAGGGTTTTTGGTGAGATGTATTGTACTTTTGTCTTTAATCATTGGCCTTACTCTAACAATATCGATTTATAAAAAGATCTAATTTTTATGCGGCCAAGCCTGCATATGTAGAAATGCGGATCTCTTAATAAATACTTAATTTTTTAGGATATGTAATCTCTTACATGGAAATAATGAATATGAAAAATAAAATAAATTTTTAAACCTATAAATAATAATTTTAGTAATAAAACATTTGGACTATTAGTTTTCATTGTTTTTAGATGGAACACCTACTTGCATTCATCTTTCAGATGGATGCTTTACACTTTCTTGACCGTAAAATTGCGATCCAACCCGCATGAAACAATTGTCCTTTATAAAATGATTAGAACTTTGGATTGCAACTAGCAAGATCTAGTCTCTACAGTAAAAAGTAAAGCTGCACCTCAAATCCACACCATAAAATGCAATTTAAATCCCTATGATGGACTCAAAATCTACTTCCACCCTTATTGTGATATTAAAACTCTAAAAAAATAGTGTAGATCTAATGGATTTATGAAAGTTTGAAAATAGACGCTCCAAATAGTGTGCTACCGGATATACCATATTCAACATTTGTATTTTTTCTTCCCTTTGAAAATCTGTTTTGGTCCAGGCTGAGGGTTTTCATACACTGGAACTGCAGATTCAACCGGCTCATGAGATGCCAAAACCCAGGCCTTGTATAAACTTATTTTATTATTGTGAATGATATTGGGTCAATTTTAAGGTTTATGACCACTAGTGTTACTTCTATGGTGCATTTTGGTAGGTAGGTCCCTATGCTTGAAAGACCAAAACACCTAATTCTTGACCAAATTCCTTTATATTTTAGTTAAGGAGATAAAGTCTCTTCCCTCAGTTATTTATGTATCAATTTAGTTGTGTGAGGCCAATGGTTCCCACACAACAGTTGGTGGTCTCAATATTTTAACTCTACACCAGGTAGTGGTTCAGGGTCCTCGTGTTTCGAGTTTGGCAATTAAACCTACGGCCAAGATCAAGTTTCATACCATCTAGAATTGAAGATGGAGAATCCCCATGCACCATAACATAGATCTCAACCGTCCCATTCATCTTGCACAATCGAGTAGGACCACTTTTCTAGAGGCGGTCTTGGTATATTTTTCAGGGAAATTTAATAAATTACTTTTAAAAGTTAACATATTTATTTTAGATGTATATTGATGATTTCCAAAAACTCATTTTAGTGTGTCATTTGATGGCACTTTGTCATCATCATATCAAAAAAAATTTCCAACTAATTGAAGACAGCTATTTGATGGCTATCTGTAATTTGATAAAAAAGATGATGATCTATCTGAATCCAAATCAAAATAAATTAAAAAAACATTGTATAGTTCAATTGTAATGCAGTAGTTTAGTCCATTTCTAGTTTAAGAAATGAGATTTCTAGTTTAAGAAATGAGAAGCCATTATGGTAAATGGTTAAAGAGTTGAGGCTTTGATCACTAAATGTGAGCATAACAATATGGTCAACATTTAGTTGTGGTATTAAAATCAGACTCGCTCGAGTTCTTTTTTATTTTTTTGAATTATTTTTTTGAATGCATCATTGAGAATGAAAACCTAACGCGGTAGTTAAAAGCCAGGCGATGCTACCACCACAACCTCAACCCTATTCCAAACTCTCCCCGTGCAGGGATCATGTCCGAGGTTGCATTCGAGCTTCAAAACACTGGAATGGACTATCTTCCCTTGAATGGTATATCCGTAGTCCTTAGGACTGGCTCGTAATTTCGGAGAAGTTTGACTATTTTGGGGACTCAAATGGTACCTGGGGATAATTTTGTCATTTCTCATTCACGTGTCCAGATTTTATACTAGGTAAAAGAAGTTTGTAAAAATATTTCTTTATGACAGAAATACCCCTGATGTTGTTCAAGGACAGTAACTGAGCTGCACTGAAGATATCATGTGACCTAAGCATATCCCTAGAGCTATTAAATAGGGAGACCAGCAACCACAACACTCTTAAAATGGAAAAATGAAAATAACCAAATTATTATTTTTTATCCCTTCTCAGTGAGAAAAAATAATAATTTAATTGATTTTTTAAGAAAAATTATTCCAAATTCAGCCATACAAATTCCTTTACTAAATCAGACCACAGTACTGTTCTTCTACCGTATCTTATTTAATTTTGGCATGTACCGAACCATCTAAAAAAAAAAAAAAGGAAAAAGCTTATATAAGGATGCTACCTTATAATGTAGAATTACGGATGTCCTTCAAAAATCCATCCGAAAAGGTAGTTTTAATGTTGAAAAACCTTTTGATTGATCATCTCGACATCGAGATGTATGACTATGAAAAATAAAAAGATTTTAAGTTTAAGAAATAGTGCATTTTACAACATATTTTCTACGCCGTCTATTTTCAAGATTTTCATATGTTTATAAATCTAATTTATTTTAACCATTTTAAAAATTTAAAATTTTATAATTAAACATAAAAATAAATTTTGAGATAATCCTAATAATATTGTACATCAAAATTATATATCACAATAAAAATTAAAAGGTACCGTACCTTTACACCTACGGAGGCATCCATGTGCCAACTGCACCCTTAAAAAACTGGCGAAAATAGTGGGAATAATGACGTAAATAGCCTCAATCACGGGGCACACAGTCAGATTTTTCTTGATCATTTTCAAAAAGTTTTTATCTTGGGTTTGAGCTCTTCACCAAAGTATTAATAATATTAAGGAGATTAATAAAACCCCATGAAGCTTCTTCAAAATATTCAACTTATATACTACCTTTGAAGTCCCATACTCTAAATTTGAACATCATTTAGGGGTATTTTAATTGTTTTCTAATCAAGCAAAAATAAAGCTTTTGGTTCTTATATTAGCCCAATATGTTAAGGGAACGATTTATTTTTATTGTCATTTTTTATTTAATTTTAAAAATTCAATCATGCGATCATGGATTGGAATAGTTAAAAATAAGTAAATTTTTATAGTTAAAATGTTAAATTGTGTGAGTTTGGTGACCAAAAATGCCGTCTCCAACAATCCAATTTGGGCTCTACATGGTACTGGGGTATTTTAAAAAAAAAAGTTATGTAATTAATTGTTGAATTTACCTATGTTTAAACCAAGATTGACCAAGTGAACAAGCCTGTTGCTGGCCACAATTCTTCTTACTAAATTGGAAGGATTTAAAATAAACTATTTTATATTTTATAATAATTTTAAATAATAACATTAATAAGTGAATTAGATGGGGATTGAGCAATTTTGCTTATCTAGATTGCCAATTTTACTGATAAAACTCACCCGATTCCTAGACAAAACTGGATGACCATAATTGAACCAATTCCCACTTCTAGATATGTCACGAGCGATCCGAATAATCACCCATTCCCAATTCCCAATCTAAGTTGATGATTTCATAAACATAATAAGCATGCTAATAATACCAAGGGAAAGTATACAATGAGACCATTTATTGTTATTACAAGGTATTGATAACTAATCTTAACTATGGGAATTGATATTAGACGGCTGCATTTATTTCATTTACCACGCTCAAACTTTAAAAGCAATTTTCTAATAAAAATGGCATTTACTTCCTTGGGAGATGCAACAGTACGGAGCGCTCTAAACAATCAAAATAAAAGGCACCTTTAAATAGTATCCATAAATATGGTTTCAATACTAGAAGTCTTTGTGATAGCCTTAAAATATATTTTCATCTTTAGTTATACAATTTAAAATTTAAAAAATAGTGTAGGTTGAACAGATCTATAAAAACTTGAAAATTTTGAAAATTGACCGTCAAAAAATGCATGACAAGATGTACTATTTTGAAAATTTGAAACCTATTTTTAATCATGTCCATGCATGTTGATGTCAATTTTTGAGATAGGCTCTAATTTGATTGGTTAGAGCCTCGGCTCTATAAAGACTTTTTCCTTTCACAAATGGGAATTATATGTAGGATAGAATCGAAATATATACAAAAGGCAGGGCGGGAATTTCAATGTATTTTCATGCAAGGACACAAAATCCACCCAAAAAGGTACTGTCAGCCTTCTTGGGAATTTATCTCCAAAAAGGTCCTCGGCACTTGTCGATATCTTGTACCCAGAAATAGTGACCTCACTATGTCCTTATATTTCCATGGAAGGGCCTCTACTGTACAGCAGCACGGGCAAACATTCAAGGTAGAGAGAGAAACCAGGTTTTTCCATGATCTTTTGCTATCATCAAATATTGTGCCCAAGGAATGCAGTGTTTCTCTCTCTATAAATATCGCACATTAGAACCTTCTGTTTTATGATGATTTATCTCAAAGCAACTCCCTCTTTCTCTCTCTTCTTTTTAAGTCTTTCTCTCTCTTCTATATAAGTATTTCTCTCTCTTCTTTTTAAGTGGCTGTTTGTCCTGTTTCTTCATACTGCGAATTTATTTCTCTCTCTGCAACACTTCGGCTGTTGGGCTCTGGGTAAACAATACAGATTGTGGTTCTGCCTGGTACAAACATAGCACGCCACCAGGTTGTATCAGACTTAGAGAGAGAAAGCAGCAGAGAGAGAGAGGGAATCAGTTTTTATTTACTATGACTACCTGTTGTTTGGCTTATTGGTGTTCTGTTTACATCTCTTCTGGGGACCATTCATAAGTTCAAACCACTGTAATCCCTTTTGGGTCTGTCTTTCTCTCTCTACACTTCTATCCTTTTTCTTGAACTGTGTGTTTCTCCATTCCATAGGATAGCTCGAGATTTGCTCTGTGTTTTCAGATTCTGGGTTTTCCTTCTCTCCTCTCTCTAGACCAACCCCATATTTTGGTTTGTCTCTCTGAACTCTCTTTCTCTCTAGTCTCTACCATAGGAATCTCTGTAACCCTGAGTTTTAAGCATGAATTCCTTTGTTTTTCTCTATCTCCCTTCTTCTTTCTTCAATCTTTGCAGCTTCACAGTTACTGTTATTTCATGAAACGAAAGTAAAAATTTAATTTTTTGAGTTCTCTGTTTTTTCTTTCTTCTCTCAATAAAAAACAGACACTCATAGGATTCTTATCTTTCTCTCTCCCATGGATTCAACTCGCATGAGTGTTCTCTTCCTGCTGATAGCTCTGTGCTCCCCTTTCAATTTCATCCAAAGCCCAATGGATTTTGGCCCCTTAAACTTCCTCCAAACCAGTGACAGTGCCGCCATAGACTTTGGCAGGATTTTCTTTAACTCCCCCTCTGCAATCCTTCAACCAAATTCAGTTGATGAAATCTCTCTCTTACTAAAATTTATCTCTCTCTCTTCCTATAGCAAAGTTACAGTGGCAGCAAGGGGAGCAGGGCACTCCATCCATGGCCAGGCCCAAGCTCCCAATGGCATTGTCATAGAAATGGATTCGCTCCCTCTCTCTCTTAAAATCCACAGGAAAGGGAAGAGAGATGAAGGATATTCTTATGCAGATGTGAGTGGTGGGGCTCTCTGGATTGAGGTCTTGAGAGAAAGCCTGAAGCATGGGCTTGCTCCAAGGTCCTGGACTGATTATCTCTATTTGAGTGTTGGTGGAACTCTCTCTAATGCTGGAATCAGTGGCCAAACCTTCAAGCATGGCCCTCAGATCAGTAATGTTCTGAAACTCGATGTGATCACAGGTAAATGCATTGCTTGGTTTGCTTTCTCAAAAACTCATTATGGATTTTATGCTTGGTTTGCTTTCTCAAAAACTCATTATGGATTTTATGCTTGGTTTGCTTTCTCAAAAACTCATTATGGATTTTAAGCTCTCTCTCTCTCTCTCTCTCTCCTCTTCTCTCTGTNTGTAGTAGTAGTAGTAGTAGTAGTAGTAGTAGTAGTAGTAGTAGTAGTACGTACGTACGTTACGTACGTTACGTTACGT